GTTGAATATTTCTGGGATACTAGAATTTGCAATTTATACAGATCCCAGGTGATTCTCTTGTGTATTAAAATGTGAGAACATTTGGGGCGCCTGGGTGGCTCAGTCGTTGGGCGTCTGCCTTTGGCTCAGGTCATGATCCCAGGGTCCTGGAATAGAGCCCCACGTCAGGCTTCCTGCTCCGCGGGGAGTCTGCTTCTCCCTCTCCCACTCGCCCTGCTTGTGTTCCCTCTCTCGCTGTCTCTCTCTGTCAAATAAATAAATAAAATCTTAAAAATAAATAAATAAATAAAATGTGAGAACATTAGAAAATAACTTTTGGCCCTTTTCTCCGTCTTAAAAACTTCCTCTTTGGTCCAGAGGGATTGATTCTACCTAATGGAATGCAAGCTGTTCTTCAAGACAACTCAGTTACCACCTTCTCCATGAAGGTTTCTTGGACTCGCTATCCCCAGTTTCTCTCTCTCTCCTGGGTTCCCTTAACACTGAGTCCCCATGCTCCTAGAGCACTTGTCATGCTGGATCATATTATTTCGAGTCGGGCTTTATTTGGGGAGCCAAGAAAAACAAGGCATGGCACCTGTTCTTGAGGAACTCATAGTCTAAAGGGGAGAAGGACAAGTAAGTTGATGGCCAACATATGGTCTTAAGAATATGGTGACAAGGCACCAGAGCTCTGGGGCCAGAGCATCATGGGAGGCTTCCTGGTGGAGGTGGCACCTGAGTTGAGTATTAAAGGACAGATAGGACCCAGGTGATGATGGGGAAGGCAGGGAGAGGAGGCTGTGGAAATAAGAGAACTGTAGAGTTATTCAGGAAACTGCAGGTCATACAGAAGCGTGGAGACAAAAGGCCAGCCATAGAGGGCCATATGGGGCATGCTAAGGACTTTGGACCTTATCTGTGACCTCAATTCAATTTGTAGTTTAGAAAGCCCACTCTGGCTTCAGTGCAGATAATGATTTGGAAGTGGGGCAGGATCATCAGTGAGCAGGCTGGGGACACCTCCCAGAAATGATGGTGATGTGGACCAGGTTAGGTGATAGAAATGGAGTCAGGAGATAGAGGAAGGGAAGTCGCAGGACTAGGTGTCCGCCTGGTCGGCTCAACATCAGAGGCCACCTTCAAAGCTTGAGAAGCAGACGAAGCTTTGGCTCACAACTTAACCAAAGGAAATTCTAAGATGAGAACTTCCAAGATCAACTGAGCACGTGGCAGTAGGATTTCAATGACCAAGTTTAGGTTGTCACTGGTTGTCTGACTCTTTCCCACTACATAGAAGCTCAGAAATGTGCCTGAGACCGGCTGGAGGCAGCTCTGAAGGGAGGATGTCAGGGGCTGGGCCAGGTTTTTATGGGCTCTGGAGGCTCACTAAATGCCAGGGTAATGTCCAGTTCTTATCGGCAGGCGGCAGCACCGCAATGCACAGAAAGCAAAGCGAGAAACCCTTTCAGTCGACTAAAAATAACCGCAAACCCCAACCAAAAGGAGAGACTTTTGGGTGATTAATTTGTGCATTCTGAAGTGACTGATGTGGCCTGTTTGTTATCAGCAAGTTCTGCTACAGTTACAACAGGTTTTCATGCCAGGATGTGACTTTGACTTTGCAAATTGCCTCTTACTCCAGTACCTTTTTGTGATTTAACATTAGCCACACACACTCAAAATATTGCCTCTAGTGTGTGTGTGTGTGTGTGTGTGTGTGTGTGTGTGTGTGTTTCTCTCTACATGGAATGATCTTGGGCAATGTTCTCTCAAGTTTCTGAGTCTGTCTGCAGAAAAGAATTTTTTGTAGAAAAGGCAATGTAACAAATGTTGAAGGTTTTGGTATTTTGTTGGCTTTCATATATATATATATATATATGCATCATCCACAATTGCTTCATTTCAAGACAATTGTTTTTACTTTTAAATGTTCCCTTACAAATCTGGCCGTAAGCACATATTTTTGCATAGACATACTCAGAGTCTGTTTTATCAGACTCTTTAAAATGCTGCATTTTAAAAGGAAGTGCTTATTTTTTCCCCCTGTTCTCTTAGGCATCTATACTCTTCTGAGATCTCACCCACTTCCTTAGCTTCAAATATCACGTGGCACAAAAAAGCAACCACATCTTTATCTTGAGTCAACTTCTGTTATTTATTCTCCAGGCATCCATTTATTCACTCTATGCACTGTGCTGGGGGCTGGGAATACAAATGTGTAAAGTATGGTCCTGTTTCTCTGAGAGAGTGTAGAACATTAGAAGGAAGGTTTTGAACAAATAAGGCTGCAATGAGATTGAGGTATAGTGGGAATTTGGGAGAAGAAACCCTAAAACTGGCTTGGGTACCTAAAAAGGAGGGGGGGCAGGAGGCCAGCTGAGCAGAGGAACCTGCATATACCAAGATATGGACGCTCCAAAGATTACGGTACCTTCTAGAAACCGCAGTGGTTTAGTTTTGGTGGAGTGTGTGTTGGCTAGAGACAGAGAGTGGGGTTTCAGGCAGGGGCCAGATCCATAAAGTTCTTACAAAGGATTTGAGATAGTGTTTTGTGGATGATAAATATCTTAGTTCCCATTGATTTTCCTCTGTAGCCAGAGTGATAAAGTACTTTGAAGATGAAAATCTGACTGTGCCTGCCCCCCCAACCCCCCATAGGATGGTGTGCCTATAGGATGAAGTGCCTAGTTTTTAGCAGACTGAAAAGGCCCTGCATGAGCCTCTCCAAATGCCTTATCCACTCACCACATTCTTCTTCATCCCAGTTATAAATGGCTTCCTTGAGTCCTTTCTTACTGTCTGGCCTTTGTACATGCTGTGCCCTCTCTTAGAATACCCTTTTCCTCTTGGGCTACCTAGAGTCTCAAACATTCCTCCTCAGCCTTCCCTGATCCTGGACTAGGTGAGGTCACCTGCTGTATGCTCCCAAAGCTGCCAATACTGCAAATGTCATAATCTCAATGGTATGTTCCCCTGTAGGCTGCAAGCTCTGTGACAGGTCATCCTATTCTCTACAAAGTAGATGCTCAGTTGATGTTGTGGGGAGAATGAATGAATACACTGAGCTTTTCAACAGCATACTGATATTTCCACCTGCATGTCTCCTAGAATGATGAACTCTTCATGTCCAAAATCGGACATCATCATCTTCCCTGCCTTCTCCCTGCATCACCCCACCCCTGCCCAGTTAGCTACTCCTTTTAGTGGGCAAACTTCTCTGTTGTTCTCCCCACTCAAAACAAAGAAATCCAACTCTTCCCTCACTTCCTCCACCTCTCTGCTCAGGAGCTAAGTCCTTCCCTTCCATTTCTATTTTTTTCTGGCTACCATTCTAGAATTACAAAGTAATTATAAAGTATCATAATGGGAAAAATATATGGATTTTAGAACAAGATAGGCCTAGTTTCGAGTCTTGGGTCTATTGTACTTGGGTTTCCTTCGGTCAGGTCAGTAAGCTCTCTAAGCCTCAGTTTCTGAATCTGTAAATGGGGATATTTATTATCCACCCTCTAGAAATGCTATGCACTTCAAGTGGTAAATAGGTAGTCCTCTTATTATTTTCACTACATATTGGACATGTCCTGCTCAAAAACCTTCAGAGGTTGCTAATCACTTGACCATGAACCCTAAGCCATACATCTTGGTCTTGTCTCTCATTACTTCCCACCCCACCCCAAATCCTAAAATCTGGGCAATCTGAAATATTGGCTAATTCCGTCACTCTTTCCTCCCTGCTTCCAGGTTGGAGTTCAAATACAAAGTCCTCCCTGATTACCTGAGCACCAAGTAACTGGCTCCCTCCTCTGCAGTCCTGTATGCAGTCCAGTGGGACTTAACACCAACTGTTTTGCCTTGCCGACTGGGCGACTCTCCTCTGGATTACAAACTGCTGACAGCGGAGGCTTTGGTGGGTTCATCTATTACCTTGCATAGTACCTTCCATGCAGTTGGTGCTCAATAAATGCTTGGTGAAAGAACAACTCATTTTCCTTATTTCAATGGCTTCTTTTCTCTATAGAATCAGATGTTTGGTTATTCTCATCTCAGCACTGTTTTGTTGGCTTCCAGGGAGCACATTACCATTAGATACGTTCTGCTCTCTTTAATTGGAAAGAGCTTTTGGAACTGAAAAACAGGAGTTACATCTTCAAGCCTCATCTGCTGCTCCCTCGAACTCACCCGCCTGGTACAAGAATCGAACTACCTAGCATTACACAGAACATGACTCTCTCACACCTCCGTTCCTTTGTACATACGTGCCGTTCCCTTCGCCTGGAGCGCCCTTACCCCGACTTCTCTGTCTAGTGAACTCCTCTTCCAAGACTCAGCTCAGACGTCATCATCACCTTCTCTGGGAAGGCTATTCTGAGATGGGCAGAGTAGCGGTCCTTCCTCCCATCTTTTTAGCTTCCTCAGCGTTTCCCCCAAATAATTCTAACATTGCATATGGCTTTTTTTTTTTTTTTTTTACTTTTCTTCCGCTCCTCTAGATCGTGAATTGCTTGAGGGCCAGGATATCCCTTCATCATCGTACTTTCTATACTCAACACCTATACCTGTATACCTATGATTAGCACGTATTACGCACTTGATTAGATCAGTGAGCGAAGAATATGTTAATTCCGCTAACAGGGCCGTTTGGACCATACTCTCAAGTATTTCAAAAGCTGGTCCTCTATTTGGAGTGTTTCAGGATGGAGGGAGATTCCCGCACCCCCACCCCCGCCCCCCGCAACTGCCTCGGTTTGGTGGCAGGAGAAGGGAAGTGATTAGGGTGTGGTGAAGAGTTAACTCCTTCAGGGCTAAGCTGTAATTTACCCGCCTTGGCACAGAGAGGGTTACAGCGACCCGGAGGCGGAGCCATGTCGGTGCCACCTGCTCCGGGGCGGTCTGGCGCACGCGCCTTGGCATCTAGATGGTGGCTACCTGCGGGGCCCGGGCGGAGGAGGAGCGCTTGCGCTCTGGGCCTTTTCCGCCGGGGGAAGTCTCGCGGGGGCGGGGCGGGGCGGGGCCGCGCGGGGAAGTTCTCGCGGGACCCCGACGAGGAGCGGAAGCCAGTCGGCTGTGCTGCTTCGGCGAGCGGGCGGCGGCGGCAGAGGCAGAGGCAGCGGCGACGAAGACTGAGGCGGCAAGGGCGGCGGGAACAGGCACTGCCGTCGGGGAGCAGCAGCGCGGTCGGCGGCCGCTCGCACCGCTGCAGAGGGGCCGGCCGGGCGCGGAGCGGAGCAGCTGCGCCACGGTGAGTGCGGCCGGCGGCGGCGGCGCTGCTCCGGTGCCTCTTCCCCCCTCGCTCGGCAGCGGGAGTCGGCCTGCGGGGACCGGGCCCAGCCTACCGAGGGCTGCCGGGGTTCGGGGTCGGGGCGGCGAGGCCTGGGGCGGGGGACGGAGTCCCCGGGGCTCCCGGGCTCCGCGTTTCCCCTTTTGGGGAGCTTCCTTCCTGGGGACCGTTCTCCCCCAGCCCTTAGCTCGGTGTGGAGCCCCGGACCCCAGGGCAGGAGGCCGGGTGCTCCTCATTAAGTTTCACCCTTTCTTCCGGAGGGTTTGCGCAGAGGGGTCGGGAGAAGCCGCGGAGCCCTGGGTACTCATTCTGTGAGTCAGTCTGACTTGGCCGGGAGGCGGGGGATTCGCAGAGGCTGCAAATGTGGTGATTGATGCTCTTGCGACCTGCACGGCCACCACGTCACCATCTCTTGGTGTCACTGGGCCGAATTTGGGGAGGGAACCCACCGACCCTATGAATACCGTGAGTTAGAACCTTTGCTGCCGGAGCCAGTCGAGATGTCTAGTTTTTCTTTTTCTTTTTTTGAAGCTACTCTGAAAAATACTTGTAAAAGAACAATAAGTAGCAGTTGGTTGGAATGCTCCGGGGAAAGATTTCAGTGCGAGGGATAGAAAAGCACTGGTATTTTTCATTTGCAACGCTCTTCATATAAGCCACATGAGTTACAGCTTGTTTAGGGAGTCATTATAAAAGTAGGATTTGCAGAGGAGCCGAAGTGCACTCGACATCTATCTTTTGGTCCTGTTGACTCAGAAAAGAGTCTAAAAGGCACATGAAAGAAGTTAGCGTATCTCTTTGGCTTTCCTGTCTCTCTTTCACTATACTTCTCCAGCAGTTGCCTTCCCTTTCTATCTACTTCTATTTTCACTGCGGACACTAAATGCTTACTTGTGTAATGCAAGTCATTTGCCCATCCCTCCACCCCCCCTCTTTTCTAATCTACTTCCCCTTCCTCCTTTTTGTCCCCTCTTCGGCATAATTTTTCGAGATTTCTGCCCTTTGGTGCAATTCGTCTTCTCCCTCATTTAAAGATTCCGTTTTCTCTCCGGGGAAGTACCCTCTTTCCTGCTTTATCCTTCACTTTGAAGCGTCCACTGTGTTCCTTCAGTCAGCCAGAAGAGTTGCCAGAGAGCCATGCGAGACTTTTAAGTTCTCCCCCTGGGAACTGGGAGGCTCAAAGGATTGAATTCATCCGTAAGTAATCAATACTGCCACTGGGTCACAAGTGTAGCTTGCTTGTGTTATTTGTGTTTTGGTTGTTTTCTTCATTTTAACATTGTGCTTTTGTGCCTGTTTACGCTTTTCTCCCTGTGTCTCTCTTAGTTAAGGAAGATTGGGTCAATTTGGGGCTTTTATGACTTATCTTTTGGCTTTTAGTGGGAGTGGTTCATGTTAAAAAACAAAACCAACCATAGACCTATATTACAATAGAATTAAGATAACATGAAATATTTGAGGGAATAGAATTTATTTAGACCACTGATGAATTAAAACTTGCCCATTGTGACAGTATGAATTTATTCTTTACCAGGGTTCTTTTAATCGGGCAACTTTGTTATGTTGTTGGGGTCTTTTCCATAGAAAGAAGTAACTTTATGTGTTCCATTGCTCCTTCCCTTGTTCAAAATTTTCTGAATTCTCAAAAAATATAATCGGCTTTCTTTGATACTAAAAGCAAGCATTTAAATGCTTGAGGCAGTTTACTTCCTTAGCAAGTGTATTCAGATTTGAGGGATTGCTAGGTTTTAAATACTAGTTCATGGTACTTAGCAGTTTTTCTGAGAAAAATCCTGTTATGTTGCCTGTTGTGCAGCAGCGGTTCTGATTGTTACCTAGAACAGAAGAGTAATAGATTTTGGAGAAATTAAGTAATACAGACTAGAGACCCACCGTGCTCTCCTGAGAGAAATTAATAGTTACTTGCTTAATTAAAAAAAAGTTTTCTGCACTACTGAAAGACTATTGAGAGCCCTTGGTTTTATTTGTCAGAGTTGGCTTTTTCCTAGTTGAGCCACGTGAATATGCATTATTTTCATTTTATTCAAAGACATTGTAGTGCATTATCTGGAATGCAAAGTTAAAATCTGGTTAAGCACCTTTCTAGTACAGCAGTGATTCTTAAAGTTTAGCATGCATAAGAATTCCTGTGAATCTTATTTCAGGCTCTGGGCCTAAGGCCACTACATTGCAGAACTCCAGAAGGCACGCCACAGTGAATCAGTCTCTGAATGGAATGATTTTGATGCAACTAGTTCAAGGACTGAAACTGTTGTTACAGAATACAGCTGTAAAATAATGAGGCTGGAATGTGGTTTTAAATTAGTCAACTTAAATTACACTTTCTGTATGTAAATATTTAAAAGCCTAAGAGAATAAGTGACGATACATGTGATTAGTCTTTGTATGTGTAAATATTTGAGCATTGTTAGGACTCTGATGTGGAGCAATTTAATTTTAAAGTTTATATTTAATAGGGCTGTTAATTTGCCTACCAGAAAGCTCTTCTGAGTTTGTATGTAGATGGAAGAAGATGGACAATGTAGGAACATATGGACTGGTACTTGAAAAGGTGCTGGTGATGCCGGCCAGTTAACACTTCTTAGTACTTTGTGCCAGAGACTCCACAGCCTTTACTCCACTCCAAGGCCTTTATATGTGCTATCTCTTAATCATCAAAATGTCCTATCAGGTACATGCATTATTATCCCCATTTTCCAGCTGAGAGAAACTAGGATTTAGGGAATATAGGTTCACCCATCTAGTGGTAATGGGACAATTGAATTCAGGTCTAACTCCAGAGCGCCAGTAAAATTATTTAGTGTTTGTTTTTTCTAACTACAAAAGTAGTGATGAAAATACCATTGAGGTGTGTAGTGCAGAAAGAAAAAATATTGGGGTGCCTGGGTGGCTCAGTCGGTTGAGCATCTGCCTTTGGCTCAGGTCATGATCCCAGGGTGCTGGGATCAAGTCCCGGCATCAGGCTCCCTGCTCAGCGGCTTGTGTGTGCACTCTCTCTCTCGCTTACTCTCGCTCTCAAATTAATCTTAAAAAAAAAAAAGTGAAAGTATTTTGTGATCTTGCTCCTAGAGATAACCATTGTTAACCTTTTGGGTTTTTTCTTTAGCACGCACTGATAAATACTATTTTGCTTTATGGAAATGGGATAAACTAATTTTTTGGCATTTTTGTTTTTAACTTGATAGTATCTCTTGGTATTTATATAGAAAGATATTCCATAGATATTGATATTGATCAGGTGTATATATATGTATTTGGCACATGGTATTTGTCATTATTTCAGTGAGATAAATCTAGGAATTGGAATTGCTTTTTCAAGGATTTGTATTTTAAAATTGTCAACATAAAATTACTATATTACAATATACTACTATAAAATTACTTTCCAGAAAAATTGAACTGATTAATTCCCTGCTACAGTGTGGGCTCTGTGATGGTTTTATTACTATACTACAGTACCAAGCACATTGTCAGGCATATAGTAGCTGCTCAAAATGTTAAATGGATGAACACTGGGTAAAGAATCAGAGTGTGTTCACCCAGAGTATTGCAGAGGCTAAGTATTATAAACCTTTAAAAAATTTGCCAATTAGTAGGTGAAGGAAATCTTGTTTTAATTTGCAGTTTTTAACAGTGAAATTGAACATCTTATGTTTTAAGTAGAATCACATTTTAACTTACCTTGAGTAACTTAATGTCAGGCCCTATTCAAAGCACTTCACGTATATTTCCTGTATTACCTAATAATGAGTGAATCTTATAAAGTAGGTGATACTATCCCCATTTTACAGATGAGAAATGGGGCTTGTTTAAAAGGCTTGCCCAAAATTATAGCTGGTTAGCATCAAGGTCATTACCTGAACCCCGGTCAGCCTGCTTTTAAAGACCATGCAGACACTAAGCTATATTGCCCAGTGAGTGTTGTGTATTTTATTTTCTGTAAATTTTGGGAAGAAAAGAGTTAAATGGAAGAAAGAAAATAAAGTCCTACAAATACCTTTAGGGGACTGCATTTTAGGATTCAATGCACATTGCTTGAAATGAACAATTCAGGCTGCACTTGCGGTTTTTTTTTTTTTTTTAAGATTTTATTTCTTCACTTGGATAGAGAGCACAAGCAGGGGGAGTGGCAGGCAGAGGGAGAGGGAGAAGCAGGCGCCCCCAGGAGCGCAGGGATCCTGATGTGGGGCTTGATCCTACAGGATCAGGACCTGAGCCGAAGGCAGATGCTCAACGCACCGAGCCAGAGCCACCCAGGCACCCCAGCACTTGTGTTCTTAAAATTTGCTGCCTGTGATAGACTGCAGGGTGTATGCTGGAACAGCTTAACCATTCTCATTAGAGTTCAGTGTTAAATGTACTCTCAACCCATTTTCTCTGTTAAAATCATTATACATTGCATCCACTTTCAGTTTTCTTCTCTTGGTAATTAGTGTTGTATATGAGATCGTTTTTTGTGGGTTTGTTGTTGGTTGTTTTTGTTTTTGCCTTTAATGAAACACATCCTTTTGAATTCCTTTAGCCTGTGTGCTCTTTTCTGTGGCTAGCCTGAGAAGCTGAGCCCTTCAGGTTTTCTCCATGAGCTGCTAATTTTTATTTGGCATAGCCGAAGAAGTATTGATTGTGCGTGGTTTTCATTTCTCTCAAACTGTATCTCACAAAGCAGTAGTTACTTGAAACGTGATTTTCAAGAGTGTCTGTTTATGCTCTCTCTAGGAACCCTATGGTAGATGAGTTGGGTCACAGGAAAACCCAGTGTTGAAAACTGTCTTGATTTTTATGCTGTAGCAGTTCAGTTACACTGCAGTTGTCTGAAATCCCGGATGACCTAGAAATATATGCTCTTTTACAACATACCACCTTGACAGTGACAACGCTTTGAGTTTCTGATTTCTGTTTTTCAAAAATGAAACTCCTTATCTTTGTTAGATCTGCTCAGTTCAGCTTCCCATCATTGATACATAGTCCCAACAATCAGCCCTGGAGGCCAATTAAAATAAATGACCTGGTCAGGTAGAAAATATTGAAAGTATTGACAGGCATGTAGCAGAGATCTTGGAGCATTTGCAACAAAATAAAAATAGGTACACACATTGGAAAGAAGGCAAAAAAGGAAAAGCAGTTATTAATGCCAGGAAAAAGTAAAGGATTGTACTAGAAAGGAAGGTTGCTTGTAATATATTTAAATCAGCAGTGAAGAATATTTTGTAATATGAAACTGCTTAAACCAGAATACATGGTATTACAGGAAGGGGCAAGGGGAAGCTGGCAGAGGTGAACATCTTGCAAGTGATAGGTCGTGGCTGGAATAAACTAAGAAATAGCAGTAAAAGCATATTATTTAGAAATATTGTAAGTAAATACAAAGAGAAAGCTAAAAATAAAATTGAGGGTGGTTGCTGGTAGGTGTTGGGGTGGGGAACTGCCTCCCCTTTTTTATAAGCCTTTTAAAAGCAATGACTTTCAAAATTATATACATGGATTAGTTTGATTAAAAAAGCAACTACAGAGAGAATAAGGGTGTTTAAGGACACACAAAAATACTCTGAGGGGTGCCTGGCTGGCTCAGTCGAGAGAGCATGGGACTAGATCTTGGGGTTGTGAGTTTGAGCCCCATGTTGGGTGCAGAGATCACTTAAAATTTAAAATAAATACTCAGACTGATCTTCATATATATATATTTTTTATATTTGCTAGAGCTCTGTCTTCCCTCTTTTAGAGCCAGCTGCACATGGGCTATCATAGGTATGGCCTGATAGAATAAACATTGGTTTGGCTGATTAGTTTACCTGCAGTAGAATGTTTGGCTTTCAGAATTTGACCGAAGGACTTTTTATTACCGGGTGATTTCTTCCCTCCTTGGTAACACTCATTTCCTTCTTATCTTAATATTCCCAGCTGGTTTACTGCTTAGTCCATTTGCAGCTATGCTTGATTAATGCCCCAGTTGTTAACTTTAGAACAAAAGAATAATCACCCGTGCCCCTCAGATGAGCTTTTTGCTAGGTGGTAATTATCCAAGAAGGGTGTCACTATAAATAATCTGTCCCCATTCTGCCTCTGTCGATGTTGTTTTCTGCTTTTATTTAGCCTGTATGAAAACACTAACTGAAAACAAGAATGGGACTTTATTTTCCTTTCCTTAGGCAGAGGTCTAGATTATGTCTGTGTCTGGGGCTGGAGATGGTATGCCCACAGCTCACCATCATGTAGTACACTACCTAAGGGTTTTTACAGAATCTTTACCTGCAAAATGCAATTTGGTTCATTTTAGAACCCCTCTGGCTCCGAGAAAAGCAGCTGTTGTCAGGGTAACTGTGAGAGGCTTCTGTTTGATTTACTGGCACCATCTCCCTGCACTTTCTCCAGATAACGCATCTGGCAGCTCAGATTCTGAAAAACGGATTCCTTTCAAGTGTAGTTAGGACTTAAGCTTTGCTCCCTAGGGTAGTTGGAAATAATGTGGAGGCTGCTTCTGGAAATGCTGAACCTTGGACATCTATTTCAAGGGCTATTGGGACTTCAAAGTCTTGGGGGTGTTCAGAGGAGAAGGGTGCCTTAGGCAAGAGCAGGTCTTCACCAACAAAAGGCTCTGACGCTGGATCTCCTCTTTCTGGTTACCTGAGCTTGCTGATCACAGTTTGGAAGTGATAGAGGGAGAGCTGCCTTGCTCAGAATAGCAAATTGAATTTAAAGGAGTTCCGAGGTTCACTTTCTCCTGCTTTCCTAGGAGCAGACCAAGGGTTAGTTTCTGAGAACAGTTCAAGCAGCTCAGGACCAAAGCCGGAATTGCTTGCTTTTGACTGGATAGGGGACCCAACGTTTTCAGAAGACCAGAAAGCTTGGCAGGGAGAAAGGAAGGAAATGGGCCCAGGCTACTGAGAAAAGCGGGGTGACATCCCCAGGGCGAGGCCTCTCTTTGGGCTGCATTTCGGGCCGGAGGAGCAGAGAGCGTAAGGGGCGAGGGAGGAAAGGCGGAGACTGAGCGGGTCTCCAGCCGGTTCCTGCACACCGCGCACACCCAGCGGGAAGGAAGAGGAAGTGTGTTCTTGGAATAGCTCGAACGGCGGCCGCCATTGGCCGGCGGGGCTGTCAGTCGCCTGGGGGCTGAGACTGCGAAGAGGAAGGAGGCGATCGGGGCTCCTGCCTGCGAGCGAGGGAGGCGGGCCGAGCCAGGCCAAGCCAGGGGGCGTGGGGGCTGGGGCGGCAGGCCGATCGGCAGGGCGGGGCTGCCTTCGGTGCTGGCCACTTCTCTCACCCATCCCTCTTGTGATTCAGGGTGGCATTGTGTGTCCCGGAGTGCACGAGCGAGTCCCGGGAGAGCGGCGAGGCCGAGCCCAGAGCGCTGGGTGGCTTCGGCAGGGAAGACTCCCTTCCCCCGGCTTCAGGCTGCTGAGCCCTGAGCAGCGCTCAGAATGGAAGCCATCGCCAAATATGACTTCAAAGCTACTGCTGACGACGAGCTGAGCTTCAAAAGGGGGGACATCCTCAAGGTAAGTGTGATGCCACGCAAATGCTGAGATGGCCTCCTCTTGTACTCACCTACCTTCGTTTGCGCTGATAACACACAAAGAAGGCAAGCTCGTCCTTTCTTATTGCCCACTTTTCCCATTTACCGTGGGGCGGGCTCTGGATAGCTGACAGAGATGCTGAGTGGATTATTAAATATGACTTAAGAGGGTTGGTGTGATGTATGGTCTTTAACTGCCTTTGTGTGAATGCCTCGAGTATTTTATTGCTTGTTGGTAATTCAGGTAAAGTCAAAGCAGCATGAGTGTATGAGTAGACTGACCTTGTAGTCTTATTAAGCATTGGGTTTTTTTTTTTTTTTAAACTTAAACTTGAAGTATTTATGTAAAAGCACTCAATTAGTCTTACTTTACCTGGTCAAAAGATTTTTGCAATCCAGAACCTGATGCTAGTTGGTTAGAAATGAATTTCCTCTAGTTTAGAGAGGTGGTTAGAAGTATATGCCAAAACTCATTAAAGAATCTCAGTGTCTTTTAATTCTTTGTGAAAAAACCAGTGGAGTTCTAAATCCTAAGGTTCATCTTGCTGTTGTACGAGTCAGATGGCGATTTTCTTAAAAGAAACTTGAGCAATTACCCTGTATTACACTCTAATTGCACAAAAGAAACCTGCTGACAGTTTAAAAATAAGCTGCTTTCCAGTTTGCAGTTCATTCTGAGCCCAAACTATTTACTTGAGGATTCGCTTTCCACCTGACACATGGTAATTATGTTGTTTACCCAATTGACGGCAGCAGCTTGCCCTTTTGGATATGTAATTTATTTTTACAAGGGTGGGTGTTATCGAATAATGTGTCAGCTCTGCAGGAGGAGAACCTGAAGTTTAGCATTTGCATATTCTATGTTCACGGCCTCTCAAGTTCTGACATTTTTTCCTTAGAAGCGTTTGTATTCTGATGGTTGAGAGTTTGCCACGCATTTGTTTACTACCCCTGAGTGAAATTATTAAAATTTTACAAAGAGGAAGAAAGTGGAAATGTAGAAATGTGGTCCCCTATAAAAAGACCGCTGATTTTTTTCCCCCTTTTTTGAGTCTTGCCGACCTGTGGGTAGTTACTATTTTGCTCTCCTTGCCTGAGACATAGAGTTCCACTCTGAAGTGTGTTGATGTTAGAAATGTAGGTTGTACTTCCTAGAAGGCAATATTGAAGAGTCCTTTAAGGGGAAGGAAAGTGTTTTTTTCAGAGCTGTTCTTGTGATGCCAAGCTTCCCGAGGATATTCTCAAAGTCAGCACTGAAGTGTCAGAAAGCAGACAGAACCAGCTGTAGGTTTTAGAGCAACATACGTTTTCTGTTTCTATTTTTTTAGCTAGAAGTCAGAGCAAGGGAGCAAACTTAGACTGTTAAATTACTCTCTATCGTTGGTGTACAGAGGAGTAATTTGATGTTTCCATAGGTGATTACTGTTTTCAGCAGATAAACAGTCGTGGTATCATCATAAGATTGGCTACTCAAATATTGTACACCTGAAACTAATATAACACTGTATGTTAACTATAATGAAATTTTAAAAAAAGATTGCTCAGGTACTCACATCTGTAGCCTCTACAAAAATCTTGTGGGAACAATTCCCGCCCTGCAATGCAAACTTGGGTTTCTCCATCAAGCTTACCCAAGAAACTTGAATCTGGAAGCCTGGTAGTTCATATTTTTCTCTAAGTTTATCCCATTATGTATTTAGCACTAAAGCAACAAAACGAAACTAAGAATTTGAGCTCTATTTTTAATAATTTTTAGGCAAGAACCCTCCCTGTTACCACTGAAGCTTATCCTAGACCTAGACCATGAGCATCTCATAAGTTCTCCAACTTAAATTGGCAAATTCTTGAACAAGTGTGAAACCTTTCTTTCCCATCCTATAATTAGAGAAGATGATACTGTTTAACATTCCCCCAGAAATTGTTCTGATGGGAGAGAAAGTGAGTCAGAGTGTTCACATTTACTTCCAGAGTGTTCACATTTACTTCCAGAGTGTTCACATTTACTTAACAGATTTTCTTTGGGGAGAGAAAAGTGCATATATTTGGTTCTTTCCAATTTGGTAGATAACTGGCATATGAAGTCATAATGTCATTATTACTTTTGAATGGTGACCGACCGTTAGCTATTTATTAGTAATCTTGTGGCTTTACTCCAAAAAAAAAAAAAGTGACGATAGAGTACTTGCCCTTTGTCTCGAAATTCTGTGAAACAGCTGAGTGAAAAGGAGGGACATTGCTTTGTCTTAAGAGCTGTTATTTTAAAAAGCTGTGTTTCCTTCATTTGATTGTTCAAGGAGTAACTGGTTTCATTTGCGTGGCTTTGATTTGATTTGATAGCTCTTTAGGATGTTAGCTGTAAGCCAAAACATGTTTAGAAGCGGCTGGAATAGCATTGACCAGTTTGACTTGATTGAAATAGGGCTATATTTGCTCTCTCTCGATAAGGGGGGGGCATGTACTTGTGGGTACTGAATGCATTTTATTTGAAGATAATGCAGTAGCAAGGGGCTTGGTGCTCTACCTCTGACTAGAGTTGAGAGGGATTTACTCTTCTCACTGTCTTGGAGCTCCTGGTTAAATTTGGTTAATGTGGACCCCATCTTCCAGCAGGCCACTTGCTTACTTTCCATCTACACATTGACTTGTGCTGCCCTGAGAAAAGAGAGAAAAATAAAAACATTTTACTGGAAGCCTAAAATAGAACTGAATGCTTTAGTATATCTGCCTTTGTTACTGTTCCTCTTATAAAAGCGTGTGTTTTTTGGAGGGGAGGAGAAGGGCATTGGGGCAGAGAAATGGAAGGAATTGCTCTTCTGTCAGAGGTTTCAACCTTGCATGGCCAAAATGAACCTAAATTTCCCTGCCGTTGTACTGTAGGCTTCAGATAGTTCCAGTGGTTCTCCACCAAACCAGGCCTCTAAATTCTCTACCTTAGAGCACAGCATACATCTGAACTTACCTTAAAGTCGAATCTGTTTAGGGGCTTACGTACCCATACTTGAGACAGTGCTGTGTACAAATTAAGAGACCATTTTGAGCTCTCAAACCTGTATTTATTGCATTCAAGAGCTGGCAGCTGTTTTCTATCAAGGCAGACCTTTAATTCTAGAAAAGAACCAACAGTGGATCATCTCAGTGTCTTCTACTTGTCTGGCACTAACTGCCTTTATCAATTTTCAGTACTGATTTAGAAATAGGTCTTGGGGGGTGCCTAGCTGGCTCATTCGGTGGAGCGTTCGTTCAACTCTTGATCTCAGGGTTGTGAGTTCGGGCCCCATGTTGGGTGTAGAGATTACTTAAAAATCTTAGAAAAGAAATAGGTCTTGGGTTCACACTCGGCTCTTTGAAGCTTTCTATCTTGGTGCTGATGACCTGTTTTAATGTCACATTTACTGAGCATCTCCTTGAGCCACATCCTGGGATAAGTTGCTTTGAGAGTTGGGGAAGAAATACTTTCTCCCTTGAGGAACTCTAAAATCAAATAAGAGAAGTGAAATTAATATGTGAAGCAGGATATGGCAGTATGCAAAATTAGAGGATTTTTAGAACAGGAGAAGACCTTTTAAAATCTCTTAATTTCGATTTTTATTATTTTTTAGATGAGGAAATGGCCCGTAGAGGTTAAATGATCCATCCAAGATCACAACTATTAGTACTTAGTAAGGAACTGGTATTTCACGGGATGCTGAGTTGTGTCACACACTGTAACTGTTAGAGTAACGTGGGAAGGGCAGCAGCTGTTAAGAGCTGACGTCTGAGAGTGCTGTGTGGAGGGAGTGTGACTTGAACTGGCCTTCGCCAGAGGGATGGGAGGGGGCGGGGGGGTGCTAGTTGTGTTTGAGATAGGAACACTAGAATGGGGTCATTGACTGTGCCATGGTGGAAAAGAAGGTAGAATTGGAGTGAGATAAGAAAAACCAGTAAGAATTCAATCTTGACCTTAAGAAGCCTTTGCAGGCTTTTAGCTGATGATGGAAGTGTTCTGGGATAGGAGGGAAGCCTGGAGCCCCAGCCTGGGAGGTCACCGTGAGCAGGCTGCATAGGTGCTGGAGACTAGGAAAGAAGGACAGGGGTGGAGGGTGTTGAGAGATGCTGAATGGACAAATAAGGGGATTTCTGCCTGTCAGCTGGGGACATTGGAATAAATCTGTGTAACCGAGAAACGAATGCCCACTGAGTATGTTCCTGAGAGCCAGGAATCGGATCTGGGGTTTGATTGGTAATAGTTTTCATAGCAGCCGGAAGTCCTGAATTTGAGTACAGGAGTGTCCATTCAGGTGTTTGATGATTAAACCTAAAAATGGGGTTGGTGTGGGTTGTTTTGTTTTTTTTTCATGATTTCAAATTCACTGTACTTGGTAGGAGCATTTCTCTGCCTGTTGATAAGAATTCTTGGAGCGCCTGGGTGGCTTAGTTGGTTAAGCATATGCCTTTGGCTGAGGCTGTGATCCGGGGTCCTGGCATCAAGCCAGGGAGCCTGCTTCCCCCCTCCCCCCCGCTCATGCTCTCTAATAAATCTTCAAAAAATAAATTCTTACTGATCTTGACTAAACCCAGAATTTTGCATTTAATCCTTATGAATGAGGATGATTTGTTTGAATTCTCTTAGAACAGATAATTTACCTTTCACTATATTCATTTTTACCCCTGTCATCTGAATGGACTGTTTCCAAATAGGTGCTAAGAATGAGCTTTCAGTTCCTATACAAGATTCCTTTGGAGGGCCTGGCTAAAGACCAGTCATCCCTGTTAGAGAAAGAAATGAGTAAGGAAATGCAATGTTCCTTTGGGAATCTTTCGGTTTTCACCTCTGTAAGCCATTATAGTTGAAGTCATCCTTGAATAGCTGTCATTTATGGAGCATTTACTATGCCACAGAGTTCTACGTTATTTCTAATTTACTTCGTGAAAGGTTGGCCCTCCTTAGCCTCGTCCTGTGGCTGCAGAAACAGACACACAAGTTAAGAAATTTGCTCAGGTTGA